TGACTTTTACTTAAGTACAAATGTTAATGTGGTACTTTGACTTTTACTTAAGTACATTTTTTGAGCACTTTCTCCACCACTGGCTGTAACGCATACACTGTGGCACGCTCTTGGCAGCCTACATGCCACATAAATTACGCCGTGTGTGCTTGTGTGAGGTCAAGGTGTCAGACGGCTCGTACCTATAAAGCCAGACACATTGCCTGTGTGTTTAGCCATGTTAATCTCCAGCACATAGTTTGCATGGCTGCTGTAACCGAGTAAGTCTGCCACCTTTGCCCTTAGTTGGATTAGCTGTTCAAGAATCGCCGTGTTCACCTGGGGAAAAGTAGAAAGGGAAAAAAAAGAAAAAAGAAACACCTGAATCATGTTGTCAGAAACAACTAATCTAACAAAAAAATTAAGATTAAAAGTTTAAAGCTATTCATAATCTTTGAGCAGAACCCCTGAATTATCTTTTTAAGGGATTGTTGGTAAGTGGAGTTCTGGACTCACCTGTTTACACCTGCTGTGGAAAGCTGTTTCCATCTTCCTCCGGGTCTCAGGATTGTGACACCTCTTCATCAGGGGGTGGTAGTGGGGGTATTCCAGCGTCACCTTATACTTCCCCTCTGCTGTCCTCTCCAGACCATTGAGATAGCTTTCAGCGAGGCCTCCTTCGCCAGGTGAACAAATTGAGAATGAATGTCTTGCACTTCTTCGCATGAGCCACAGATTAATGCAAACAGGCTTTTACCTAGTTCCTGCTCGGAAAAAACAAGAAATGTATTGTCCTCGTTCAGATTCCTGTTGAATTCTATGGAGAGGTCACTGATAAGCTTGGAGGTTCTTTTTACTTCCTACGAAAATATAAAGGAAGACATTCTTTTAAACTGGAATTTGAGACTTTGGGTATACAATCAATGGAAATATAACTACAGACTATTTAAAGGCAATCTCTCACAGAAAAACAACATTTATGTATAATTTTATGTAAAATAAAACCAAAGGAGATAGCATAACATACACCAATCACAAAGCTCATAACCTAATCTCCTTATTCTCAGCATCCAGCAGGAAGCACCAACTTCCCACTGACTGCACATCCATAAAAATAACCAATAGCTTGTCCAGGATAATGGTATATACAGAGTTTCATCAATCATACCTTGAACTTGTCCTACAATCACTGCTGTGCTACAATAAATCTTAGAATAAATGTTAATCGTTAATATCTGTGAGATTACCTGCTGTATCTCCTTAGACAGATGCAGTCCTTTCCTCTGGCCCAGTGTAACCAGTCTGTCTAAGAATCTCTTTTCTTCAGTTGAAGGATTGTCTTGAAACTTTTTCTGCCAAAACACACACCACACAAAACATCTTATTGGTGGATTTGAGACCATTCTAAAAAAAAAAAAAAAAAAGTTCAGTAGTACTAGTCATTACTGTTTATATGAAACAAGTATTTTCCATCCAAGAATTAATCAGAACTAAGAAAAAAAATAAAAAAGGGGGCAGTATCCCAGTTGATGATCCATGAGATGTTTTGTTGTATTTTCCAGTAACAAGGTGTACCTGCAAGGCCTTTATACGCTTGAACACGTCTTCCCTCATGCTAATCTCCACGTCAAATTCAGATAGTTTCTTGTCCGCCTCTGTGCTCGCCGACCGAACCTCCTTGTTGGGGCAGACATACTGGGGGAAGTCAAGAACATGGCGGGATGCTAGGAAACACAAAGGAACCACTGAGAACTTCAAGCATTTGCACACCATATAAAATATAAGCAATCCACTACACACAACAGATCAGTCCAGTGGTATCCAAACGTTTTTCAATCAAGGCCAAAATTGTTGAGATGAAACCATTTACATTTCTTGTGCTTTTTTATGTTTTATCCGCTCAATGTGAAAGATCTTATTGAAACGAACAAAACTGAATTTTATTGAAGAGGGATTTGTAAACCATTGTAGATCCAAAGCATAGAAAGGGTTTTTAACAATTGTGTCATTAAAAGACAGGCAAACTGTTTCCTTATATTTTGGGTTCATTGTCCATTCTTGTGGACTTTTTTTTAATGTGCTTTTCAGTAAGAGTTACTGGATGTCTGTGGTTCTGTTAACTTTTTTTTTCTTTTAATTTTAACTGCCTTTGAAACTGTCGCCCTAAAAGATGGC